TCTGATTGATGCTCAATTTCGGACAAAACTAAATGATCGTTTGCAAAAATGACCTAAAAATTTCAAGGAATTCAAAATCATGTATTTCGAATAAATCTCATCTCCCCATATCATGCAAATGATTTGCGAAACAATTCTGGCAAAGTCAATCTTCACTCTCAGGGTCAGGAATACACCTTATTCATCAAGTCCTTCTCTCAATTTACAAAGGAAAATATCGTTGAATCCGATTATACTAACTATTAAGCATCGTGCATTTCTCATTGCTAAAATGGCCCTTAAAAATCTGAAAAAGGAGGTTCTCAAAGCATTACGGTTTTTCAGAAAGAAGTTCCAAGGCGATCTAGACACAGTCTATTAGATGGGAGTTTGTAAATAGTTTGCTTAAATGATCTTTTCGTTTCATTAGCTGAATAATAGTGTAATGCCTATTCATGGAGTGAGTAGTTGCATAAATCCGGAATAAGATCTTGCATCCGAAAGTGGTAAACCATCTGTTGGAAAGACCAGACCTGGAGTTGTTGCCGTCCCATTTTTTGGATGACGAACTCGATATTGGTGACATGACTATGGCTATTTCCTGCTGCAGATTTGAAAGATTTTGGTTTCAATGTAAGGAAGTGAGAATATGGTGGTCAAGCTGTAAGGGAAAATGTGGATTCAAATAATAGATTTATTCACAGTTGAATTACACAGCAGTGAAATCATGCAGAACTCATTTTGTAAGCGTCTGTCTCATTTTTATTTTGTTTTTCTCCGTTCCACCGAAACCGCAACCATAAACTTTCATTACCACCAGTCGGCTACTGTGGGGAGGATGGTGTTTGCATTCCACTCAATGTAGCATGCTCAGTGATGGCAAAACAATTCTCTTCTGCTCTGCTAAAATAGCCCATGTGATCACTGATCCGGTTCTTCACTTTCCTACCGGTTTCTCCAGTATAGCTTTCTCCACTCAGAAAATTTACCGATGCATTATTCAGGCGTTCTCTCCTTTTGTTATGATGATTTTCTAATACAGGAAACTGCCAGGTTGATTTGGGTATCCGCACATTGTGGCTATCTCGTACTGAGGCGTTCGATTCTTTCACGTAGTTTCTTTCGTTACGAGATGACGTGAAAGAGAAGGAGGAAGTTTTCTAATTGCTTCTATGGAAAGTGAGAGTGGATCTGTCGCTGCTGAAAACAATATAATAGTGAACCTTGCCATAAAACGGGATTGATGACGCATCGTGCACATTGAAGCACACTGGAAGAAACTGAGATTTTAGAAGCAGTCACAGCTTAACACTAAAAAGGCAAAATCAAGAGGAAGAAAGAAAGCACAATATCAGTCTAGCATGGCATCCTCTGATGCACAAATAAATTATCATTCTAGGCATTCTATCGCAACTTTCGTCTCCATGTAGAAAGTCTTCACTATTTTCTTGCAACCATGCACAAATATTTAAGTCGATCAGATATGTAGCAGGAAAAAGATCCGGCACCAAGACACAGTTCATCATTCGCAAATGGAGCAGCAACTACTGCTGGTTTGATCCTTCGCACAAGTGGCCTTCTACTTTGGGATGCAGTATATTTCCCGATCACGCTTCGAAGTTGTAAGTATTTGTCTAGACCCTCCATTCAAACTGAACAACATGTCATGCTACTTTCAAATTGGTGCTACGGGGAATTCTTCGACATCAAGTGACTGAGAGGATTGCGTGCTCAACGAGAGCTGTTTTCGCACGCATTCGCCCACAGTATTGTCACACAACCGTTTTCGTTTTTTCTGCACTGCAAGCGTTCGACTTAAAAGTGATAAGCTGAACTCCAAAGCTCGTTTCTAGCCTTAGTGGCCTTCCACGCCAGGACCAAGCACAACGAATCGTTGAACCAGCAGTTGCTCACGCCTTTCGACAGTGGAATGAAATTCTTGACAATTGTGTCCACTCTATTCAGAAGGACCTTGCACAGCAGCTGCCTGACAAAACATTCACCAGATTTAAGTTTGTCATCATTTCATTTCAGACGGAACTAATCGAATATCTTTTATCCCAGCAACTGTACGCACTTTGAGAGACTTCGATGCAGTGAAACAACATTACTTGACATTGCTCAATGTGATATAGCTGTGCTTCGTATATTTGTACCGATATTCCACTGCTTCCTTTTTTCATTTTGTACTGAAAATGCGGTCAGAACTGGTTCATTGTGAGCCAACCTCCAAACCATTTAAAAAAATAAAGTGAAAAGATGCGTTTAAATAAACTAGCATTTGTAAAGAAACTGAAAATATGGTGTTTAGATCTATTTGAAACGTTTTTTGAAAAACATCTACTTTGAAAATTATGACTAATACTTTGATATATAACTTTTTCAAAAAATGGTGTTGTCAGGTGTTACGCGTTCGATATAGGGTAGTTTATAAGGGCAGTTTTCCTCACACATTTACTAGCTTTACCCATTTTTTGCGCAAATTGCGCAATTTGTGCATCTCCTTACTTAGCATGTAAAACTGGATTGCTTCATTAGGTTGTTCATGCTCTAAATTTACAAATTTTAATGTCTGACAGCTTTGGAGGGAAAATGCAGAGCAATACAGTTGCGAACATGACGTACAACTTCAACAGTTCAACAAAATCTTTTTCTGAGGCATTTGAATCAAATTCTTTGGCATATTTATTCATTCTTTGCGACCTGCAAATTCATTGTTTATGCACCTGTTGAGTGTGTTGGTACGTCATGTTAAGCTGAATCATTCATCAGCATAGCTTGCATTATTCCAGTCGTAACTTTTTATGCCTACTGTTGTGGAAACACTGAAGCTTAACATTTTAGTTGAAAAATACTCCTAGTTGTTCCAGTGGGTTAAACAGTCTAATAGTCGATCCTGTTTCATCCACGATACGATGTGCGAATACTTAATGACGAGTGTTTCATATTATGAATCTCACATACGTACAGTCGGCTAATTATTTCACTTTCGCTTACTGAAGCAACATCTGCATCTAGAATGTACAGATTTGGGTGTCGTGTCATTACTCTTAGGCGTTAGAAGCCATTGAGTGTTTTTTCGAAACGCTACATTTGATAAATCTATCAGTTAACATTTGTAAATTTTTTTATTTTGTTAAGAAACTAAGGATACACGCATTATCTTACTTACACATAATAGCACGAAATTCTGAATACAGTTCGAGTTACTTTGTTTAAACAAGCCTATGCTAGTTATCAGTAATAACAGACATTAAACTAAATGACGTTCTGATTTGCAGGCACAACTACTTAGGCATTTATTACGGTACGACTGTGTGGTTGGTTATTCCGCTCTTTTAAATTGACTGTCGATATAGTTAATGAATGTTCACCCGTGATATTTGAATTTATAAGAAACGTTTATTTAATGTTGCCTCTAACAGCTTGCTAAGACTGAATAAAATTGGCATGTGTTACTGGCGGGTAACGGTTTTAGGTTATACCGTGCCTACGGAGTGAGGTATATTTATGATGTTGGAACGTGTTTTTGTTCGACCCAAAAAGTGGTGCTGTTTTGCGCCCCTGCACTTAGAGCCATGGCCTGCTTAAACAGCCCTTTAGATTGCTAAAAGTAAGGAGACGATGCCTAATGCTGTGTAAATCTGGAGAAGTAATAGGAGTGAGTTTAGGGTTAAGTTAAGGGACACTAATATGCCATGAACAGTAAACTATATGTAATTTCCGTTCTTGAGATTTGTTTCTTTAGTAATTCATTTTATTATACGTAAAGAAGTACCTCTGGTGGTTCTCTGCTCCGTTGGGTGTTGATAATTGACTTTATAAACGGTATAGACTTGTTCTAGTGATAGCTAATGTTAGGAGGAAAGCTTCTAACTGTTGGAATGTTCCTATAGATTCGTTGCAGTGGAGGCTGTTGTTTGCAGCTTTAACAGCCCTCCGGAGTTCGAAGCCAAACACTTATGTACTATTCCACTAAGTCACCTAATTATTTTTTAGTCCGGGAGAGGGTTCGTCATAAACTCTAGCAGCCTTGCAAACCTGCAAGTTGTTTAAGACTCTTAATGTCCGCTCATCTCA